TCTTCTCCATCTTCCCTCACTTCCATGTAAGTTTGAATTATGAAAATGTCGTATAATAAGATCAAGTGTGGGTTGAAATTAGAGAACTCTCCCTCCTGTTATATCCAATTATATTAAATCAAAGGGGAAGTTTGAGAGAGAAAGAGGGGTGGGGTGGGGGGGAGGGTAGAAAAATGCGATGGGGATGTTGGCAGAGAAAGTTATTGATTTCTCACAAAGTATTTGTATTTCAGTTGGGAGCAGCAGCTGTCAATCTTGTTGCTGGAGAAAAACCAGCTGATGTTTACTCAGGCATAGCTGCTAGGTAAGGACCCTTGGCTTTCCCTTTGCTTTGCATTATAGTATATATATTATATTCAGCTGTGATTAAGGACATCATCCCCCAATGCCCCCTAGTCTTACTTCAGATCACTTGCATGTATTTGTGAGTGTAAGGTCAGTTCTATGTGATCGCCAGTTTCAATGCCTACAATGCTGTGAGAATTTTAGGTACAGGTTATTTTTATATGAATGCTGCTAATGGACTGACTGTTACCATTGATTCGGGTTTAAGCTTTGAATGTATAGCATTGGGTTTGAATATGCTCTGATGTGTTTATTAGATTTTTCTCCATGTTTCCCTTGAATGCTTATATTAAAATTTTGTGCCAAGGAACGCTTATAAAATCCCAATTTTGTCGTAAAACTCTGACAGTTGAATGTTTGTGATTTTATGATGCAGAGTTCTTTCCATCATGCAAGAAGATGCCAAGAAAGATCCCGCTGATTTTCCAGACACTGTGCATGCAAGGAAGCTGATCAACCAGGTTTGTGGTTTAATTAATTGCTTTGTGTTGAGTAGGTTGTGTGTAATGGACTGATGTTCTAGCTTAGTATTTCTGATTTAACAAAACAAATAAATAAGGATAAAGGCTTGATAATTCGATTGATAATGGCTGGAAGCTTATAAAGGTAGTAGGTTTAGCCTACAACTCTCCTATTAGCAACTTGAGGTTGCCACTCTCTATTTCCAATAACCCAATTCATGCCTACCTTTTCCCTTCCCCCCTCTATCTATTTATAATTTATATTAAAGCTAAGGACTATAAACCAAATAATATTAAACTTCCCATATTGCCCCTCCTAAGATTAGTCTTACATTGTGATGCCTGAATTTAGCTGAATAATATAGACTTGCTACAAGTTATAATCTCTCTGTTATGTTCTCATCTTTACAGTCTTATGCTTCTTCCAAATGTAGGTGGACAGGAAATTGGTTAAGCAGACAGTGATGACCTCAGTGTATGGTGTCACTTATATTGGTGCTAGAGAGCAGATCAAGAGGAGGTTAAAAGAACGTGCTGCATTTAGTGATGAGACAGAGATTTATGGGGCAGCTTGTTATGCAGCCAGAGTAAGACTGTGTGGATGACTTAGAGCTTAGTTTCTACTAAGTGCAGAACCTGCTTATGTTAGCAGGACTTTTGACCATTCTGTTCTTTCCAGGGACTTGACTGATGAGTGTTCTCTTACTGTTTGGATAGGTTACATTAACTGCGCTAGGCGAGATGTTTCAAGCTGCCCGTAGTATTATGAGCTGGCTTGGTGATTGTGCGAAGGTTTTTCCTACCTACAATTATATGCGTAGACATGTGCTTTTATGTTTTACTGGCTGCTACATTTTTTTTTTCTCTGCATGCTTGTGTATTGGTTGTGGTTAAAATGTTGTTATTTTTTATTTATGTGGACGGGCCATCGGTGAGTACCTTTGTGAGAAGTAAATTAGGAGTAGTAATTAATCTTAAAAACCATTAACTTCTGTAATAAATAATATTCTAAATGTCCATCCCCCATTTACACAAACCTGTATAACATGTCCCTAAATTACAAAATTTCTGGTTTAGATTATAACATTATGTGATGTTAATCATGCTATTTAAGATGTGAGCTTTTGATATGAATTTGTGTGGATGTGGCCTCCCCACCATTTGCTTCTTTATCTTTTGTGTGTGTTACCTTATATGCATTTACTTGATGGCTGAAATTTGTGCAGATTATTGCATCAGAAAATCAGCCTGTGAGGTGGACAACGCCATTGGGTCTTCCTGTTGTGCAACCTTACTGCAAGAAGGGTAGGCATCTGGTACGGAATCATCTACCCTTTCTTTGTTTGCCTTCCTTTTTCTGTTTGAAATTTATCTTAGGAAGATTAATATTCGCTTGTTTGATATATATGATGCAGATCAGAACATCCCTTCAAATGTTGACGCTGGAAAGAGAAACTGAAAAGGTATTATTCTTGAATTCTGTTGTCCAATTTTTAAATTGCTCATGGTAGTTAAAAGCTTTATTAATGACTTGCATATATTTTCTTTGTTTTTATTTAAGTGAAAGTGGTCACAATGTTTAGAAAAGATATGTATGCAAATGACTAAATCAAGACAATCCTATAAAGGCTATAATGCATTGGAATACAATTTCAATATCTTTTCCTGTGAAAGAAATCCTAGATGACCATGTCTATTGTGTGCAGGTTTCCATAGTTTTTTTTTTGCAAAATTATCCACATTGTAAATGTTGCACTCCTACTATAATGATATCACTTTTGTTCTTTGCTGAGATTGCTGCACCTTTATACTAGGTGAATTCTTCTTTGGTTGCTGCAGTCTCATAAGCAATGAAGCCTTCTGTTGAACTTGAACCAAAGTATTGTTGTTACGGATGTCTGAAGAGATAGAGAATTTTGTTTTGCAAATCAGTCTACACAACTCTGCAATAACTGAGCATAACCATTGATTTTATTTTATTTTTTTTCCTTTGTCGCAGATTATGGTTAAGCGACAGAAGTCAGCTTTTCCACCAAATTTTGTTCATTCCCTTGATGGGTCACATATGATGATGACTGCAGTGGCCTGCAAACAAGCAGGCTTAAACTTTGCAGGTTTATATTTATATTTGTATTTACTCTCAATACTTTTCCTTTCTTTGTTATTTCAGGGGATTTAGATGTGATTCTTGCTTATTTCTTTGCATTTGATGATTTTAGGAGTTCATGATTCATATTGGACTCATGCGTGCGATGTGGATCAGATGAGCATGATACTTCGTGAAAAATTTGTGGAACTCTATGAACAACCAATATTGGAAAATGTAAGTTGCGCGTGTAGATAATAGTTGGTGCTTTTTTGTGCCATTATCTGTCTATGATTTACATTGGTAATAGACGAATAGGTATACCCTTCTAAAATAAAAATGGCCTTGTGCATAGCTCATGAACGTAACAGCAAAAACCATTTACAGTTGTAACGCAGAAGGCCTCTCCTGGAAAGAGACCAAGGGAAAACTATCTGGTTATGCATTTAAGATATTCCTTGCTTCTTCTTGAATTACTCTGAAAAATTATTGCTTGAGTGGAAACTATATACTTACTGTTTGATCTGCTTTATAGATGTTTATTTCCAAAGCTGAATCATTTTATTCCTTTCTTTGGATCATTGACAGTTACTGGAAAGTTTCCAGCAATCTTTCCCTACACTATCCTTTCCTCCTCTGCACGAGCGAGGAGACTTTGAACTGAGGGAAGTTTTAAATTCACCATACTTCTTCAACTGAGCCAACAGAATTTGTCACTGTATTAATCATCCCCTCTTCCGCCACCACTGGGTAAGGCACATGCCATGCTGCTGCTCCCTTGTGACACGAACAGCTTCTATGTAGTGCACTTGCTAGGATTCAGATGATCTTCTGTAGCTAGGTACTGGCTTCTGCCTTTTGATGAGAAGCCACTGAGACATAATCATCTGACAGACAAGAGGACTGTTACAATTTGTGGCAAGTCAGGAGAATGACTGCAGATTCGAGCAATTCTTGCCATTCTTTATAGTAAATTGACATGTAATGTAGCCAAGATAGGTGATTTCTTGTATGTAATGTACAGAACTAGAGAGCTTCCTCTGAGAAAAAAGTCCTGCTGTATACCCTTACTGTATATATTACGCCGTTTAAAGCTAGGAACCTTGAACATCCTCTTCTCCCTTCTAATCTAATTGAACAAATTCTTCACATTTTATGAACTTTTTTTGGTTATTTATTTTATTTTATTTTTTTTATAAAAGCAAAGAAATAAAAGAAAAGAAAGAACATTAGAATCCCCTCCTCATGGGGGAACTGTACTCCTAAATCCTAATACAATTCCTTATTTTTTTACAGTATGTGCGATGGGTAATCTACTAATCTGTTATTTAGTAAAGATTCCTCCATATTAATGTTATCCTAAAATGTTACCCAGAATGTCTAAAAGTTGCCAATAATTTGATAATTTATTGATAAAAGTGCTCTTTAAATAACATAAAATCAAATCCCACTACACTATTCATAAAACCTTATTGGAAAATTTCCTAAATTACCAAAAGTCCCAAATTAATTAGAGGTATCTTAGGAAATTTTCTTTCCGGTGTTTACTTCACTATCTCACTTATGAAAGTGTGGTTTGTTGATGAATTAAAATTTGAGATAAAATAGTGTAATAAAGTTTATTAAAAAATAAACAATGTGACAAAAAAATAAAGAGACATAATCATATACTTCATACTACTTGAAACTAATACACATAAGTTAGAGAGGTAAAAAAAAAAAAAAACCACAAGTAAAATACGTATTTAAACAAGGTCGATATATAAACAGAAGGATTACTATTCACCCTTTTATTTTAAGAAACTAAAACTGTCATAAATTGGATTGGATACCAAGTAATTCCAATTTACCAAGTAAAATTAAGGGAAGATTTATTAGTGTACGCTAGCTAAACTAAAGTAATTTTAGGAAAGTCGTCAATAATATAGTCGGCTAGAGTAAATGTCGTTTTAGGAAACCGACTAGTAATTGGATATATTCTTTATTACATATTTATTCCTCTATATATACGTACTATAATTCTAATTATTACATCAATTAATCAATCTCATACTTCATAAACCCACAAACTTTTCTAAATTTTATTCTCTCAAAAAAAAAAAAAAACAATGACTGTTGTTCCGTTTCATGTTTCTTGGTTATCAAAACCTCAAGATGAATTCGATATCGAAATTGATAATTCTAACACTCCTTTCACTCATCCATGGCTGCCTAAATGTGGATCACAACCCGTACACCCGGCTACGCGTTACAATCCCTTAGACTTCGCTTTCCTCCCTCCCTTACCGTCACACCTTACTAAGCCTAAGTCGATCGAATCAACCCTTTTTAAACTAGTCGAGAATGTAGCCGATTTAGATTACTTGGCTACCAAGTTATCCGAAGTGGAAGAGTTTGCGGTGGATTTAGATCACAATTCGTACCATTCGTTCCAAGGTATTACTTGTCTTATGCAAATTTCAACTCGTTACGAGGATTTTGTGGTTGATACTCTTAAGTTATGGGATAGTATTGGAGATTACCTAAGAGATGTTTTTCAAGATCCGTCTAAGAGAAAAATAATGCACGGTGCAAGTAACGTCATTAAGTGGCTTCAAAGGGATTTTGATATTTATGTGTGCAATTTATTTGATACGATGCAAGCATGTAGGGTAATGGGGTTAAAAAGAAACTCTCTTGAATTTCTTCTAAAGCATTATTGTGGTGTTACGGCTAACAAGGAATATCAAACATCGGATTGGAGAATTCGGCCTCTTCCTCGTGACATGATCAAGTACGCAAGAGAAGACACACATTATTTACTTTACATTCATAATGTTATGAAATCTACCATCTTGTCTAATTACGGTCAAGATTCATTGGCCAAAGTTTGTAAGTTAAGCCATGAGGTTAGTTCTCGATTGTACGAGAAAGAAGGGTTCGATAAGGACGTGTCGTACTTGTATTTGTATGGACTAATGGAAGCTAATTTGGATGGTAAACAACTTGCGGTCGTATGTGCTTTGGTTGAAGGGCGTGATGATGTTGCAAGAGAAGAAGATGAGAGTACTGGCTATGTTTTGCCTAATAAAGTAATTTTAGAAATTGCTAAGAAATTGCCTAAAAATAAAGAAGATTTGATGTGGATTGTGAAATACAAGCATGATTTCATGGATTTAGATTATATTGTCAAGCTGATTAAAGTTGCCGTTGATATTGAAGCTCGCACGACTAAGTTCGAGGATTTGTCTCTACAATTAAAACATAAAATACCCGTCAGAGATATTGCAAGAATAGTTCAATTACCGGGAAGATATGAGAGCCCGGAAAGATTTGTTATGTATTCCATTCCTAGGTGTTTGCCGATTGTTGTTAACCCGATTTATGATTGTGTTACTAGCCTTGTTCCAATTTATATGTAATTCAATATTTGAAGGTGTAAATAATACTCCGTAGTACTGAATTTGATAACAATACAATTCTTGTTTTTATTATGGGATCTCTATTATCATAAGACTAATTAAAAAAGTGATAGGTCTAAGTTTAACAAACTAATCATAGACTAACTATTATGAAGTCCATACTATATAATGACAGTTTTGGCGCATTGTCTACGTCTTTAATATTTATGATTAATGGTCTAACTCAATTATTGATAAGAAATAAAAAAATCATCCTTACACTCTAATTTTAGTCAAGTATTGTAACGTTTTGCAATTATATACACGGTAATATTCTTCAATTTGTTTTGCATCAAAAAAAAAATATAAAAAAATAAAAAAAATCTTCAATTTGTGATTAGTGATTACTTATTAGTTTGCGTGTACAATTTTTTCACTTCAATTCTCAGCTTATCTCAACTGAATTAAGCTTCACCTTTGAATATTTATTTGAATATTTATTTAAATCCCACAAACAAACAATCTTTCAATCTATCATCAACTTTGTTTGATTGGTTCACTTTCAATCTTATCAGTTTCTCACTTATCTCTGTTTTTTCTAATTACTTTGTTTATGTCAATTTCAATAATTTGATTTCATCTGGGTCTATAATTCTACTCAATTTACAATAAAAATCTGTGAATTTTTTGTGTTTTATTACAAAATTTGCACTGAAATTTCTGGGTTTTCATTTCTGGGTCAACTGGTGTTTTTCAATCTCCAATTTGTCCGTTGGTTTAAAAAAAAGTCTTGCCTTTTTAAATATCAAAAACCCTAAATTTCCCCCAATTTTTTGAAATCAGGGATTCTGGAATCACAAAATCCAGATACCCAATTTATAGAAATTTGCTAATTTTGGAATCCAATCATAAAATTTCTTTCTAAGAATCCTGACAGATTTGAGCAGACTATCAAATAAGATTGGATAATCCTGCTCTTAATTTTCTGCTCCTGTAAAATTCTAAACTTTAGGGTCTACAAATTCAAATTTTTTGGGGAAAAAAATGACAATTGATAATATGGAGTCGAAGAGAGAGAGACACCCAAAGAAATCGAAGCAAGTCCCTGATGAAAATGCTCCATTGTTACCCAAAAAACGTCAAGAAGAAGCTGGATTTGATGAATTTAATGGAGCTTCATTTTCTGGGGCAGTCTTTAATTTGTCCACCACAATTATTGGAGCTGGAATTATGGCTTTGCCTGCTACTATGAAGATTTTGGGTCTTGGTCTTGGGATTTTTATGATCATATTTATGGCTTTTTTGACTGAAAAATCCATTGAAATGTTGCTTAAGTTTAGCAGGGCTGGAAAGTGTTCATCTTATGGTGGAGTAATGGAAGATGCTTTTGGAAAAGTTGGTAGAATTTTGCTGCAAGTTGCTGTTTTAGTCAACAATATTGGTGTTCTTATTGTGTACATGATCATCATAGGTATATAACTATATTATGATTATATGTTTATCATATTGATTGTTAGCTTTTCGTGCTCGGTTTTGCTGAAGGTTTTGGGATTTCTTTGAAGGTGATGTGCTATCAGGAACATCTGCCAGTGGAGTTCATCATGCTGGTGTGTTGGAAGGTTGGTTTGGAGATCACTGGTGGAACGGCCGGTTTTGGATTCTCCTAATCACAACTCTCTGTGTGTTTGCTCCATTGGCTTGCTTTAAGCGTATTGGTGAGTTGTTGCTTTATTGGTTGATCTTGATAGTCATACTTGATATTTAGCAAGTGCACTTGTTCTTTAGCAAATCTGCAAATATGATATCCTTCGCGATCTGGCTATCTGCCATTGCAATTTCATAAGTTTATTATTGACATACAAGACATGCTTGGTTGACTCATTGCTCTTCAAGTGTCGTGTTATATATTATTGATGACCAATTAGAGATGCTTAGATCCATTGCAGATAATAAAGGTTGGTGATTAGACTATGGTACTATTTCAATTTTCAAACTTATGTGGGCATACATTTTTAGCATTAGTTGGATCAATTGAAGACATTTGATGCCAATTTTAGAGTATGGTACTATATCATAACTTATGAGTACAATCTTTGATTTGGTGCAGGTTGTCTGTTCCTGTTTCCTGAATATATAGGCAATGTGGGACAGGATATTAAATATTTTTTAGGGCTTTTTAATTTATACTTGCTGAAACCTTTTTCTTTTTGTTCCTTTATTTTGTTGATTATTATGATGAGTACTCATAATTGGTGTTTGTGTTGCAGATTCTCTGAGATATACATCAGCATTGTCAGTTGGCCTGGCTGTTGTATTTCTTGTAATTATGGTAGGAATTGCAGTTATAAAGTTGATAAGTGGAACTGTGATGATGCCCAGATTGCTTCCTGACATTACTGATTTTAATTCATTCTGGAAACTCTTCACTGCTGTACCTGTTCTTGTCACAGCATATATATGTCACTACAATGGTATGTCAATTCATCTATTTTCTTGGTGTTTTCTAAACTTTTGAAGAGCATAGATAATGAGGGATTTGACCCAAGTTCCATGAAATGGATGCAGTCCTTTTTCTCAAATTATAATAGAATAAAAAGACTTGCACATACTTGGTCACTCTATGCTGTCAATAAAATATAGTATCCAGAAGGATAACGTTCCTCTTTGAAGGTCAAAAGTATCTATGTTGGACTTGCAATCTCATTAATTTAATGCAATCCCTTTATTTTTATAAAGATGACTTGCAGATGGAATATGACCCGTTCATGTCACTACTTAACTATATCTGTATATATTATTATGAACTACATGTCTCTTGGTGCTCTCTGAACTCGAACAAGTCAGTGAGATTCTGTTGTACCAATTAGGAGGTAAGAATTCACCGTTTGAAGAGTTAAAAGTGCCATGTTGCTTTCTTATCTTTAGATATGTGGGAGATCTTATCCCATGAATTTAAACCAGTCAGTTTTCTACGACAAAAAAAACTTGCACAGATGCAACATAGTGTTTCGTTGCGTGGGTTTGCTAAAGGATAAGTTATTTTTGTGGAATTACTAGTTTGTATTTAGCTAAATTGAACTCTTGTGCCTTGTTTCTGCACCAATAGAACTATCATAGATTACTGATTGATTTGACTGATAGAGTCTTTTGTGACAAACAATGCTCATTGCCATTGAACCAAAACTTCGAATTTTGCAGTTCACTCGATTGACAATGAACTCGAGGACTCTACCGAAATAAAACTTGTTGTTCGAACAGCACTTGGTCTCTGTTCTTCTGTGTATGTTATGACAAGTTTATTTGGGTTTCTTCTGTTTGGCGATGGAACTCTGGATGATGTCCTTGCAAACTTTGATACTGACCTTGGTATACCATATGGTGGCGTGCTGAATGATGCTGTTCGTGTCAGCTATGCTGCACACTTGATGCTTGTTTTCCCCATTGTTTTCTATCCTTTAAGGCTCAATATTGATGGCCTTTTCTTCCCCTCATCAAGTCCTCTGGTTAACAGCAACAAGAGATTTTCTCTTATTACCATGGTGCTTATAACTCTCATATTTCTGGGAGCAACTTTCATACCCAGCATCTGGGATGCGTTTCAGTTTACTGGAGCAACTGCTGCAGTTTGTCTTGGGTTTATCTTTCCTGCATCTATTATCTTAAAGTGAGTACCTCTGTCACTTTTTCGTTCTTAAACATTCTTTATAAATAAGACCAGTTAAACAGGGATTGACATTGTTCTTGTTTAGCTGTGGTGACTTTGACCTGTGTCTTGGTGATAGATTTTTTATTCATTCTTAACTGCACAAGTAAAACTTCAAATACACTATCCAAACTACTCTATGTTGATACTGTTTGATGTTTGTGTTACTTATGTGCATGAGTTTGACCTGATTAACAGTAAATGCGTTTTTTTTCCCGGTAAAAGTAAATAGTGTTGTTAGTAGTCTGCTTACTGAATATTCCTCACCAGGCTTAAGCAGATGAAAATGTGATGCTCTTGCTATTGCAGGATACACCACTATCTAATCGCCACTTATTTTTTCTTCCTATCTTAATCAAAAACTTAAAATGGAAGATCCATAATTTGCTGCCTTTTTTGAATTAAATTTAAGTTAATAGATGGCATGGATCCACCCAAATGTTATTGTTATTATGATCACTATAGAATTGGGACAATGCTTTTGGTTTAATTAGGTTTCTCAATTATGCTGCAATATTTTTGTGTGAGCCACTTAACTGCCTCAGCTGAATACATGAATTACAAACACGTGTATCATCTTGTATCGATCAGATTGTCTAATTTATCTTGCAAACTGTTCTTTCAGGGATCGTTATGCCATTTCCACAACCAAAGAAAAATCCTTGGCAATTTTGATGATTGTCCTTGCAGTGTTCTCAAATGTCGTGGCAATATATAGTGATGCCTATGCACTGTTCAAGAAGAGTTCTGTAACCAGTCAAATGTGATAGGACACTTGATGCTCCGATTTAAGTTATTTGGGTACAAAGCAGAGCACTGATTGTGTCCTGTTCCGTGAAAGCTTGGAGATTACTCGGTATTAGGGTATTAAGAGTTACAATGAAGAGCAAATGCAGCTTGTCATGTATACAGGGAGTAGCTCTTTGTACAAACTGTCATCTTATATCCTACCGGTGTTTGTTGTGATGTACCACCGATAAGTATATTGTCTAATATATAGTTTGCAAAATAAAAGAGATCGGCCAGAAGTTCGCGATAAACTTTTTTCGATGTCAATGTTGATTGTACTTGATATATTGTATACCAAAGGTCAGCTTGTGGGCATAAGAAGCTGCCTTCAACTGGTTGTTAATATGTGGTGGATCAATCAAAACTATTTATTTCAGTTTTTATATGTTAACTTTGCAATCTTTTTTTTTTTCCTTCTTTCCTCCTCTCCATTCCTTCGCCTATGCAATTGTAATATTACTAATATAATAATATAATTGTATAAAATAAAAGATTAAAATCACGCCAATTGTATTAATGTTTTTTTTTTAAAAAAAAATTTTAATGCGACTTTTGATTGGTTATTGATATAGACATATAGAATTATAGAGTAGTTTAGCTCAAAATATGGATTGGTTTTTCCCTAAAAAAAAATATGGATTGGTTTAATGCTCATAATACATTACTTCCTCCACTCCATAATAAAATACTTCGTACTATATTTAATCATGTGAGATCTTGTTGGATTTACCTCGATTTGTACTTAATTATAATCTGAAGGACACAGAAAGAAATATACCCTTTAAATCCAAAGCATTGAATCTCTTTTATACTTTTGTATTGAAATTTAAATGAATCTAACAACACCTACATGACAATAATATACCATTAAGTATAAAATTTAGTGGATTTAACAACACCCTACCAATAAGTAATACTTCCTCCGTTCTAGTAATGTTTCAACAACTAGATTTTTTCACTATTCATCACGCTTGTTTGACCACATATTATAATTTATACGTGAAGAAAAATAAATTCATGCGGGATCTTGTTAGATTCGTCTCGTAAAATACTTTCACAACATCAACTTTTTATAATTTATACTCTTATATAATTAATTAATTATAGATATTTAGCATACAAAATGTGCTTTAAAATGTGTAATTTTATCATTGTTGCAATATTTGTGGAGCAGAGGAAGTAACTATCTATAAAAAGATAATACGAAGTACTTATCTAAGAAAAGAATACTTCCACTACCAAAATAAAATAAAATTAAAATTAAAAAAACTAAGCGAAGGACACAAAGGAAGTTCATTTAAAAGATGTTATTGTACAAATAGCTTATAAAGCATAAATTAGTGTTTTTTTTTTTTTAAAAAAAAATAGCATAAATTAGTTGGTAATTCCTTTGCTTATCTAATGAGAGGTAGTTTTTTATTATCATTGGTGAGGTAACATTTAGCCTAGCATCAATTAGACTCCCCCGAATAACAACATATTTCAACCAGCAATGGAACATAAAGAAGAAGGCCTAACAAAGTTACAGGCAGAGGCTTATGCGCTGTTGAACTGTCATAGTGTGAAGGGGTTTGCTTAGACGCGATAGAAGTTCTCTCAAGAAGTTCTCCTTACCAAACAGGACCTGACTGGCTCGCAATAATAGCCTCATTTCATGCTATGTAAAAAGGAATTATACATTTCAATTGATATACATAAACTACCATGAATTACTTCCTAAAAGAGATAAACAATGCAATTTATCTTCTGTTTGTGGAACAGTATAAATGTTTAAATACTATGGAAGTACAAAAGAGGAAAAGAGGACTGAGAACTCAATTAACCAATCCTCAAGTGGCGAACTCAAAACTACATTGTTTCTTAAAGAAAGGTGGTTGAATTTTTATAGACGAAAATTCAATAGATTTTACAGTTTACCTGGCTGTACAAAGTCTCAAAATTTTGACATCCCTGGACAAGTTTTACCTTCAGGCAAGTCTTTCTTCGGCAAGTAGTTTTGGACTGACTCTCAAATCTTCATCCACCTCAATGAAGCTATCTTCTTCCTCTTGCACTTCAAAACCTCCGTTTTCTTCCTCTTGCACTTCAAGTAGTTTCTAGGGGAATATAGTTTGCTGATTTATCGGGAGACTGAACTTCAAAAATGAAATCCCTTTCAACAGTAGCTGCTGGAGAACTTACTTTGCCATTAGACCTGGAGCTATCACCAGAAAGTTCATTTGATGACTTACAAGGAGATGAATTACTCTCTTTGTGGCCCAATGCAGACTGAGAATTATCAAGCTTTGTTTTATCCTCAGACTGAACTTCAACATTTAGAATACCTCTGAGGGCCGAGGAACTTTCCCCACTACTTCGACTAGTACTAGGAATACTTGAAGTTATCCATGAGAACTGTAAATTGCATCCATCCCAAGATTTACCATTCAGGAATGCCCTTTCAGCTGACTGACGGGTCGCAAAGCTTACACGAGCAGAGCAGTGCTTCATTGCCTCAGAATCACCATCTTTAGGAATCTCTTCCTCACCAGAGTCTTCAATCTCCACATTAGATACAGCACCGTATGTTGAAAAATGATCCCTTAAAGCAACCACCTAGTAGACATGAGAAAGATGACACTTTTACTTTTAAGCTTACTTGTAAAAACAGCTGAGAACTCAGAGCACATGTTGGGAGGTGCAAAACAGCGTATCTAATACCATCTACAAATGATGAAGGGAATTACACACCTATGCCATAATTAGGCAAAATAAATGCATACTAGACATGTAAAGGGTATGCAAGTACCTTCATCATAGTAAATTAATCAACCAGCATAGCTATCCCAAGACCTCATGCAACAACATTTAAGGACTATAAGCAGGAACTTAACTGTTGTAACATATTCCACTCAAAGGCTGAATACCAAACACAGCAGGAAAAAAAAAAGTAAAGAGAGCTCTGGAAATTATCCAAGAGTTATTCAACCGTACCTTAATCCTCAATTAAGGGAACGCAAGAAAAGACGAATAAGACTATAACATACCAGCATAATAATTAATAAAGGTACGAACACATGCAAAGTAACAGCACCAGCTTTTTGTTTGGGAGAGTGGGGAGGAGCAATACTCACATTTGCCAAACCGAATGGTAAAGGTGCATTGATTCTAAATGTTGTAGGCCGGTTATCCAATTTATATCTATTCAAAGGAAAAGGAATTGCAGAAGTTGCCATTGGACGAACTGCATTCTTCAAGGTTGAAGGATCCAGGGCATTAGCTGAATTTGTTCTGGATCTCTGAGATGTAATGTTTTCAGTATTAACCATCTTATCTGTTGATACCTCATCCTTCAATAATGGTCCAGAAACATTAGCATCAGCTGACTTTGTGTTTGCAGTTTTCACCAAATCGGTCACTGTGTCAACTGGTTGCTCCTTCGATGCTTGCTCAGTTGATACTTCACCCTTGACTCCTGTAGCCTGCACACAATAACTTATAAGCATAGAATACTTCATATCTCTACTCCTAATTGACATAGAGGCCTAGAAACTCATGCCATCATGGTTTTGTTTACGCAAATAAAATCCCTCAGTAGAATCCAGTAAAACTTTACAACTGTTCCATTCAGGCATACTATTTGGTCTGGTTTCAAATTGTCAGAGAGCAATCAGAGCATAACTGCCTTTCACTTGGTTTCTATCAAGATTTGCCAATTTCCAAGGACATCCAAACAGGTTCTTCAGCATAATTTAATGACCCAATTGCCTTGGGCAATTGCTGGTGATCCAGGAGTCTACCTATCAATTTCCATCAATATTTCCATTGGCATCTTGAAGGTGTCATTGGATGTTCAAGTATGAATAACGGACATTATAAGAGACAATAAATGTAAGGCATTATGGTCCAATGATTTAAGGAAACACTTAAACACCCAAAGACAAGAAGTCAAAATTCACAGCATAATGCAAAAATAAAAATTAATAAATAAATACAAATTCCAGTGTTTCTCCTTATCTAGGCTAAACTAATTCACTACGCCAATTTACTCTAATTAATATCAGAAGCATTAAAAGACTACAGTAGAAGTGCAATTAGTCATGTTACCACATGTATAATTTCATGTTAGACACATAAACACAAAAAACTTGGAAATTTCAACACAAATTAGGTAAACAATGAAGATTCAAGTATGAAATACACTTACTTGTTTAGCAAGTTTTTCCAACTGTCTGCGAAATTCATTCCTCCTCTGTTCCAGCATCTCCTGTTTTTTACGTAGCTCCTCCCTCATAACCTCCAAATTTTCCATCTTTTTCTGCACTGGTGGTGTCATCTTAGGACTGTTTGCAGCAGTTGGTTTATAGTCATGGCCAACGGTCGCAAGGCTAGCTGGTGGTTTAGTCACACCTACTTTTATAGCAGCATGTTGGACATTATCTTTTCCTTTATTCAAAGCAGACAGATGAGATCCTGAAGCAGCTGGCACAGCCTGAGGCGTCATCACAGTGTTAGCACTGTTTGTACCCTCATCAGCTATGCTATCTCTATTTGCCCACCATAACTTAATAAACCGGCTGCCCATCACAGCATCAGGTGCCTTCAACGCTCTCTCTGCCTCTTCCCTTTTAGAAAATTGCACAAAAGCGCGTTCACTATTTGCTGGAATGTAAATATCAATTACTTCTCCAAATTTTCTAAAATGGGAGAGAAGGTTTTCTCTCTTGTTGTCTTTCAGGGGAATACAATTGACAAATAGAGTACGTTGGGCCTTTTGAGATGGTTTTCTAGAATTAGCCCTGGCATCAATTTGCATCTTGGAAGTTGAACCAACAACTTTCATGCCAAAAGGTCCTCCATTGTTTTGCTTTCCTAAATGAGAAGTCCCTTGCACGCTGATTGATGCCTCACGGATCTCTTTTGATTTACTTTCAGGATATTCTGATGGCTTTGTCCTAAAGTCAAATTTCTCTTTAAGCTCCAGCTTATTCTTTGAATTATTAAGTCGCCCCCAAACAGTTGCACTGGTGCTTTGTGAACAAATACCTGCCCCACTACTGCGGATTACACGATCAGTAAGGTCTGCATCCATAAAGGGTTCAGATTCATCAAAGTTGGGTGGTTGCAATCTAAGTGGAGTTGATGTTTCATTACTATCATTATTCCACAAAGGCTGATCAGGGTCATACACATCAGCTCCACCAGCATTAGCAGCACTGGCCAAGCTCTCATCATCAAAAGCAGACTTGCTTGTTTTATTGTGTATACCTCGGCTGTTCATCATAGTACCTGAAGAAACACCAACTGAAGGCATAAACCCACTTCCAGCTGATGTACCCAGCACATGTGCACTTGAGAGTGACACTGGGAGGTTAAACTGTGACAAGCTCTGCAAACAAGGAGAAAAGTATTCAGAAGATATTTAACTAAATTCCGCTGAGTGTTCACAGGATCAAACAATTTTTTCTAGGTACCTAAACAAATGTGTCATTATATATAGTAACAAAGAGACTATACAGCGATCAGTTTGTATGTTGCACAGAACAAGCACATATGCTGTAAAACAACATAGACTAGGAGCCCCAGGGGGGCTTACTGACCACTTTTACTGTTGAAAGAACAGATTCTTAGTCTAGCTATACACACCAACAAAGCCACCAAGCTGGCCTGAATTTATAAATCTCAAATGTGTACCCAAAAAGGCTCCTCTATCAAAAACCAAATGCACAATCACATGTTATAATCAATAATAAGCCTCTTTTACCCGTAAAGGCCGTAATCTTCCATAGTGTTGTCTTATTAAATCTAGTGAAAAAAAAATGCCACATGAACAATCCTTCCAGAGTTTCAGTAAGCCCCATAAAGGGACAACCAAGCAATAGTCTACCAAAAGTTTCATGTGAGCAGTTATGTATGCCTTAACTTAGGATGATAAACAATATGCCTCCAACTTAGGATGATCAAAAGCATTACGCTTAACAAACATCATTCACCTCACAGCAGACTGATTAGAGCTTATGTAACACATAAGCAATGACAAGAAAGAAATCATCTAACATAAAATGTTAACCACATCTCAAGAGAGAGAGAAAAAATAAATAAATAAAATAAAAAACACACAAAGCTTTAAAGCTGATGCATGCCACTTCAAAAACAGGGTTTAATTTTGATTATTCCAATCCCACCCCTCCTAAGCACAAACCAAGCAAGGAGAGTCAGAAAGAAAGTAAGTTAGCTCAAATCATCCGGGAACGGTCTATTTAAGTGAAATAAATTGTGCAGAAACCAGTACGAATTAATGTAAAGCATCATAAACAAGGAATTTGCAAATTTGTTACAATTGGTTATTTCTGCAAGAATCAGTACACATACCTGCACATCTTCAACAACAATTCGATTGACACCATGCTCCATTGGACACATATCACCTCTCAAACAAAAACCACGCTCCTCAAAGTCTCTACAGCGTTGACGCTGAATTCCCATGTTGAGTGAAGAGTTCAACGGTGGTCTGAGGATTCCTGGCAGCCCGAGTGGATTGATTGCATCTATTGCCCCATTTGGGATTGCAGGAAGTAGCCCAAAGCCATTCCAGGATGCACTTTGTGCACTTGGAACATTAGGCAACCCTCTTCCTGTGAACATAGCTGATTGAATAGAGCCTGGGTGAGCCATTTGGGAAGCAAGATCTACAGTGCCAAACCGTGAATCACGTTGGAAATCTCTACCCCTTCCTCTGCCAGAACCATACTCACTAGGGAACCGGGAGAAATTTACTCCAGGAGGCCGTCTCTTTTCAAATTTTGTGAAGTCCCTATCTAAACCATAGTGAGATTGGGGATCACTCTGTCCATTTTCAAAAGTCCTGCTGCGCTTTCTGTACGGTTGTGACAAAGGTTGTTCTAGCAGATCTCTCTCCAAGGATTGAGACCTAGTCTCCCGCCTACGATGCTTATGGTTGCGATCATCATCATCATCATCACTAATTTCCTTCTCATCTGGATCACTGACACAGTCAGGAGGAACAACGCCACCAGATTTCAGAGACGGACTTTTCAGCTCCATATCCATCCCAGTTTAAAGTAAGATATTACAGCTTCCTTATCTTTAGTGTATCTGTATAGTCCAATTCACAATTAGGTAATATAAAAACCAATTATACTATGTTTAACATAGGCAACTAGATGCACTAGTACCACCATAGAACACAACAATAAATGTGGGTGAGCAGACAGACAGTTAAGCATGAAGTATGAACATCCTAGCAGTGTACATTAGAGAAAGAGCACCAAAATCAGTATTGCAGCAGCGCATAATAGGCACCGAAAAGTAAAAGATAATCCAGAATGAAAGGAACCCAGGCAATGCAAAGACATCCCACTATAACTAACACTTCTTTCCTGCTCATCACAAAACACAAAACAAAACAAAAAAAACAAACAAAAAAAACAGAGAGAATCTAGCATGCAAAACAAGGATGGTGTTTTAGAAAAAATCATACAAAAGGAAAACTGTAGCGTCCACATATATGCTAGACTTCAATCAGGGAAGAGAGGGTTACAAAGGCAACATAGCACAACAGCTTTGCACAAAAATGACCCTAGTCAATGGGCTACTGTAAGGACAGCACTCCCAGCTACCCTCCATGAAAATGCTATGCCTTAATTACGGGCAGACGAAATTGACAAAGGAGCAATTCTGCATAAGCATCTCACTGGAAATAAATTTAATTAATTTACTAATTGGACAATAAATTTATAAATTTGAGCCTCCTGAGAAATTATTTGATGATTAAAAACTTGCAAGGGGGTTATATCATAGCCAATGAATGCATTATTGAAAAAAAGGGGACATTGGAATTTCTAAAAACCTTAAAAGTCCATCACCAAGCAGCTAGAATTTTGTAGTTAAAATCCACGGATACGCTGGTTCAAAATCAGTAGGCTACCCTTTTGCAAATCATGAACCCAAACCAATATAGATCTCTGAGAGAGAGGCTATGGAAAAGGATCATCTACAAGCATCTCTTTATAATCATAGGTCCCAAAAGCATCAATCTGCTATCTATGCAGCAATGAATAAGTTTAATAGTTAACCGCTCAGTCACCTAGAAACGTGATGATAAATGATATGTTAGTCTCTAATTAGATCCTGCCAGCACCAAATGGTAATTGTAAGCTCAGTAAATTGTTCCAGCACTAAAAGGCAACTACACTTGAAAAAGGACTCCCTAGCAAAGAATTCGTAGTGTAGGAGAAAGATTGTAAGTCAAGGAAGAAAAGTTTTCTTTCTACCAACCATAAAAAGATTTGGTTCTAATCTAGTTAATCTACCTTGAGTTCTAGCTACCTTTCTGGTTTATCTGATACTGAATCCTGATAAGTAAATGAGTAAACAATTAAAGTGGTTCAGCAAAAAAATAAAAAAAAAAAAAAAAAAAAAAAAAAAAAAAATCACTAATTATACAATTTCACAATCAGTGACCTAACCCTTCTTAGATCCAACTTTCTGAATCATCACATACTTGAAATTTGAAAATTTTCAGTAGCTTGCTAAAAATGATTAAAAGAGTAGTATGTGCAAGGCCGCTTAGTAATATAATGCAGTACTATTTCTGGTTCACGGAACAAAATATGGTTCCTAAGCGTATTGAGAGAAGTAGGACATTAGGTAAAGATAGACCGCCTACAAGGCTCTAGGGTGAAGGCAGCAGCTCAAAACTTCAAACCCTCCCTCTAGAACAATTTTTAAGTAAAAAATTAATTAAAAAAAAAAAAAAAAACATGCAGGCAATATGCACGGCAATTCATGAAGATTCGAGATATTGATCATGGCTTGCAGTGAACCAATGTGCCAACTAGAGGCCAAAGTGACTAGTATTTCCATTACCAAGCGTCTCAGACTCACCAATAACTTTTGACATACTCATATGGCCATATTGGACACCATATGTCCGAATCCAACACCTCAAACAGCTACACTTGGTGATCGAAACTTGTTGTAACTAATGAAGGGGAGAAAAGAGGGATAAGCCCATTAGGAAAGCCCAGAGTGAGGTTCTTCCTAAAATCAATAGGCATTAGGAGGAATACTCCAGTTGTAATGATGTGCACGAAACAGTAAGAATCAAAGTTCAGATCTCAACATTCAAAATTCTAGTAAACACTTTCATCTGTGCAAAGTACTACCTCCCTTCCATATTTCACTCAACTTCTCTTAACATATTAATGCACCACAACTAGTCAATTTAGAGTAACAACGGATAACTAACAACTCCTAAATGGCTTAATCTATATGCACAACTTTAACAGTCCCATATTTTTAAAGAAACTAAGTGCTCGTGATCACATTTCCCTACCCCTAAACAATGAGTCTCTGATTTTTGAAAAAGGCGGTGGGGAAGCACTCGTGATCACATTTCCCAACCCTAAAGAACGTACTATGCAACACCAACGTAACATCCCCATTAACCCGTCCCCACCCCCGGCACTAAAACAAGCACTCGCCCATAATTTTCGAGACATCATCCGATAAATGCAAGCAATACACAGAACATCATCTACATTCCCTACTGAGAAATACCAATAACAAAGCTTGAAATTAAAATTATCACAGGAACAACAATTTGCTACAATAAAAACCAACAAATTATATTCAAATCAATCAAAATAATAACATACAATTGTTCGGTTTTCTTTAAGTTCTCAAAATTGACAGTAAAAATAATAATTCCCAGATCTAAAATCAAATGTATGAAATTAAAACCATGTACTTACCAACAAAAATCAGCACTCCAATCAACAATCAATCTCCACCAAGCGAATAATGGGGGAAACAAGTGTGTTATCAATTTCCTTCAATTAGCAACCCTAACCCTCAAATTTCATTCTTTTTATAGGCAATCAAAAAACAAAAACCCTTGAAAAAGCTGTTCGAGCTTCACCTCAAATTTACAGGAAAATCAAAAAAATCAAATAAAACCCTAAAAATTTACAAATGTCCGATTATCGACATTGAACAACCGCAAACACCGCCATGAAAGCAGGGCGGAGTGACGATGAAGGCGAGAAGCGGAGGAGAGAGAAAAAGCGAAGAAATTCGAAAATTGGAGAAGATGACGATTGCTTAGGTTTAGCTGGTTGTGATTTTTTTTTTTTAATTTTCTTTTTTCTTTAATATTGGTTTTAGTGTGGAAGAAGAAGGTTGGTTCACTTGGTTGTGTTGCGTAATGTGTATGGCTTTTTAAAAATAGGGGGAGTATTTTTTGCCATTTGATACATACCCCAATTAGAAAGTTATCTTCCTAAATAGGATGTACTCATGAAAAGTTTAGATTGCACGAATTTTTTTGTACAATATGTTGTAATCTTGTGTATGGTTCACAACATTTCAGAATAAATATGTAGTTGATTTTTTTTAAAAAAAAAAACCCTGCTAGTGGTGGAAGACCCCCAAATGATAAGAATTAAGAGGTATAAGGCTAAAGAGAGACAAAAAAGGATATTCCGTGTATGATCCTGCATAGTCTCGAATATTTATATACAAATGGTACTTCAAACTTGGAACGAGCATGAAGAAATCAACGATACTTCTTTATCTTTTGAGTTGTTCGGCCATATCGGTCGGGATCTTTGATCTCTACCTGGACCCAATGAAAAAAACGAGATCACTTCTTATAGACTCGTGATCTCTCAAATTGGTTTTGCATTTACAATATATTTTTTTTCTTTTTCTTTTTTGTATAATTGATTGTAAGCACAATGGAGAACGGGATGATATAGAGTTAAGTGTTTTAATGGATATGATTAGCTATAATGAAAACAAGATTAAGTAATTTCAAATTTATATACAATATCAGTGTTAATGAGAACAAGATTAAGCAATTTCAAATTTAATATGAGTTTTGTTTCATTGGATTTCATAAAAACATAAAGACGATATGCTGACCATTGATAACCTTCCATTTGTATTGATTCAATAATAACTATTTTTGATCAGTGATCATCTAATAACACTTTGGATAAACAACTCTCATAGTTGATCATGTTATTTCACTAGTTTTGCACCTATATCTAGAAGCAGGGCATTGAATATAGTAATATCACCCCACTATATTAACATACAATAAAGTTTGCATTTCGATCATTTTTTGAGGCATATCAAGAAGATTAAAGGTTAAGTTTAATGTATAATCCTTCTAATTTTATTTTTTTTTAATATGATTACATGTAAAAATTTAAAAATCAAGACCTTGTAAAACAAATTTATCAAAATTTATAAAACAAGACCCTGTATTACAATTAAAACAATACAATCAAATGTGAGTCATTGCATGAAATATACTCGCATAAATGAGAATTTTGACAAACAATCTTGTAAATAAAAGATAATTTCACCTTCTCCGAGCATTTAACAACACGATGGTCATAATAAAAAAGAACATTGAGTGCACTTTCAAATATAACAATCCTTAGACTAATATTTTTTGCAATGTCAAAAGCCATAAAGATTGAATTTCTTGCTACCATCTTTGCCAAAGATAATTCATTACTTTCCTACTGATGTAAAATTATCTCCGACGACTATCAATATTTTGGTATCTCAAAAGCCACAAGGATTGAAATTCGCAATACCAAGTTTGCAAAGATTCTTCAATATTTTCCTCATGACAATGTAAAATCATCCCATGCAATTGTAAATTGGAGCATTTGTGCCAAGATCATTTACTTGATGAAATACTAGTCAAAGTACGTACTTTTGGGTTGTGACTAAATCATATCATTAATATCATTAATCCAATAGTTTAGAGAGTGAGGTATAGCTCAAGTGGTTAAAATTTTCTTCCCAATTTCAAGTGATCCTAGAATTAACTTTCATCACTTGACGTTGTGGCTCTCTATACACCTAAAAAAAAAATATCCAATAGTTTAAAATTAGGTGTATCTACTTGGGCCTCATTAGAGTTTGGGCTGTAGGTTTTTGGTCTTATGGGCCATAGTAGTATAGTACTACTAGTCTATTAGTAACATTTCTGCAAGAACAGAGAATTAGGCAATAAGCACATTGCACATACAATGAAATAAATTTCAATTATATGAGATAAATTTCAGTTTAGTCACCTAAGTTGTTCATAAAGGGCTGATTAACAATAGGATAAATGAAAAGAGTTTGCTTAAAGAGCAAATATTTCGCTAAGGTCATCCAAGATTATCATATCATTCCCACTCTATAGTTGAAGGAGGCTTCGATGTTATGTCTAGAGTAACTCGGTTCACTCCTCGAACATTGTTGGTAATTTTACGGGACACCTGATCAAGGAATTCTGAATCAAAACGATACCTGAAAAATATTAAGCAACAACCATTAGTCAGTCGATATAAAGGCAATTGACTTACATAGCTTGAATCTACAAAAACAAAACGGTAAGATCAAGGACTATTTGATGTAGGTCAAATGACTCAAACTTCAACCTAAAGCTGGTGACAAGTATAGTTCATTTTTGCCACTGAATTGGAGGACTAAGGCCAAATTGTACGTTGTAAGTGTCGTGAACATTACATAACCACAACGAAACATCTAAAATCTGCTGTTTATTGTACATGTAGGAGCAATTTCTTTATGTTAGGAGGTTATTCCAACAAACCAAAGTTCTTCAGGAAAATAATGGTCCTTTTCACACGTACACAACATTCAAAAAGGTGTTCAATCAAGCATATTAATGAATTTGAGGACAAGAAGTTCTAAGAATGGTAGCAAACGTCAGAATTGTGCCCATGTGTGTTTTTTTCTAGAAACACAAAGAAGTTTACAGGATTTAAAACATGCAAAATGAACGATAGATGTTCAGTACTTACCAGTCTGCTGTCATCCCATCTTGACTTGTAACAGCTCGCAGGCTTACAACATGAGAATGCGTTCTTTGATCACCTTGAACTCCTACTGAAAGAATGCCCAAGAAAACAGCAAAAGCTTGCCAAATTTCATCATAAAGTCCAGCATCTTTGATTGATTGAATAAAAATCTCATCAACCTGAAGAGCAGAACATTTCATATCAACCTAGGCACATACACAAATTTAAACCATGAAAGGGAGTATCTGCTCACCTGTCTAAGAATTTCCAAATGATTTCCTTCTGTGACATCACCAAGCACACGCACAGCAAGTCCAGGTCCTGGAAATGGATGACGCTTCAAAAAGCCCTCGGGAATATTCAAGATCTTCCCCAATGCACGTACCTTCAAAGAAAACATGAAAAATAAAGAAATTATGATGTGAATTGGAAGAGAACACTATATTTCTCACATCAAGAGGTGTAAACACAAACCTCGTCCTTGAATAAAAGCTTTAGAGGTTCAATGAGCTTCAGCTTCATGTCCTTCGGAAGTCCACCAACATTATGATGACTCTTAATGGTATGGGAGTGATTTCTTCCACTTCCTGGAGGCGGGCAGGATTCAATAACATCTGGATATAAAGTTCCTTGTACTAAGTAAACAGGTTTATTCCCCAATTTTTTCTCTAGCTCCTGGGCAAATTCATCAAAAATACAGATGAATTCTTTTCCAATAATCTTTCTTTTGGTCTCAGGGTCTGCAACGCCCTTCAATTTGCTAAGAAACTGCTCCGATGCATCAACACAAGTGACAGGGAGATGAAGGTGTTCCTCAAAGGTATCCATCACACGTTCTCTCTCTTTGTACCTACGCAAACATTATACAAACTAATATCAAGGCTAAAAAAATACTGCTAGAATACATGGTGCCAGGATATATAACCTAATTCTAATTAGCCTTGTAACAGAAATTAGTGAAAAATCTCACCTTAACAAGCCATTGTCTACAAAAATACAATGAAGCCTGTCTCCTATCGCCTTATGAACAAGAGTAGCAGCGACAGTAGAATCCACACCACCCGATAAAGCACAAATAACATGATCATCAGCACCTACAGTTTCCTTGATAACTTTAATTTCTTCATTCAATACATCCTCCATATTCCAGTCTGCACTTACTCCACAAACATCAAAAAGAAAATACCGCAATGTCTTCATCCCTTGAGTCGAATGTGTAACCTATAGTATGTTCAACAACCTTGTTACTCACTACCAGGCACTTGACAACACTAAACCACAGAAAACTTTTTTTTTTTTTAAAAAAAAAAACACCCATTGACCAGCAAGTTAAGAACTCCCATTAATAGCTACCAAAAACTTAATTAGCCAACAACACCTCATTTCTTCCATTCAATACATTAATCAAACATTCTTCTCTAACAAAACCCGAAATCGGGCCCATGTAATTGCTTTTACAATGTCACATCATACAACAATACATGAAGTATAAGAAACTCGGCACAAACTATCAAAATCATTCTTCAAGTCATATTCCCCCAATTGAACTTTTTTTACCTATTACAGTACAATTAACTGAAATACACACAAAAGTTGCCAAATCATACTTTTAACACAGAGCATCTCACTACAGAGCAAAAGGCAAAACAAGATATAAAAATTACACCTTTGCATGATAAATCAAATTAACTTAATCATCAACAGCTTTATAACAAAGATCAATTAAACCAATTAATTAACAACAAATAATCAATTATACATTAAATTCAATTTTTTAATCAAATTTACCTCAGGATGATATTGAAGACCATAAAACTTTCTAGAGGGATTCTCAATAGCAGCAACAGCACCTTGCTGACTGACTGCAACAACCTTAAACCCATCAGGAAGTTTCGAAACCTCGTCACCGTGACTCATCCAAACATCCTGCTTATCCCCCTTAATCCTACTCCCAAAAAACGTACTATTCTCAGAAATCACCTCAATATTCATCTTTCCATATTCTTGTCTATCACCAACCTTAACCAAACCCCCAAGTTTCTGCACAATCAACTGTAATCCATAACAGATACCCAGAACATGAACGCCATTTGCTTCGACATATTCGACGAACCCGTCACAGAATACCGGCGCGTCAGGCGCGTGAACACTGTGGGGGCCACCGGAGAGGATGATTACACGTGGGTTTATGTCGATGATGGATTTGAGAGGGGAGGTGCCGGAGATGCAGAGAGAGAAAACGGAAAGTGACCGGATTCTTCGGGTGATGAGGTGGGTGTATTGGGAACCGAAATCCAAGATTAAAACTAAGTCGGATTTCACTTTCTGAGCATCCATAATTGATTATTGATTGATTGGATATTGAAGAGAAAATGAGGATTGAGAGGAGAGAGAAAGAGAGGGTTTAAGAAGGGAAGAAGGCGGGGGTTTGGAGGAAATGAAAGCAAGGATGAGATTTTAGGGTTTTAGAAAGTGATGGCGGGAACCCCGGGTTCACGGGGTCCATTGGTACTTGGAAAACGGCAATGAAATGAACTAATTCCGTTTCCTATTATTATCAATTTATCTATCTATCTATTTATCTATATATATATATATATATATATATATATATATATATATATATATATATTATACTAAAAGACAAGCGCCTCAATGTGAGGTTGACAAATGTC